TTTAAATAAAAATAATCCTTTCGATGACTTATCATTGAAGGTCAGTATGAGGCCCCATAATTAACATATGGCTTTATTTTCCCACCGTATAAATGAAAAGCTTCTGAGAAGACAAAGGTATGAGTGTGACGATTGCGTAATTTCTTATTATTTCTAGTCCATCTTGAGCTCAAATGGAGGGCCGCAGCCAGGGGCAGTAGACATACAGCCTGGGGTCCTTGGGCCAGGTAAGGATTAAAGATTTTCAGATACAGTGGCAACTAGATAGTATCCTACATGAATTAATCAAAGTAAGAGACTCTTAGTGACCCCATGTGATCACACAGGACCAGTTAAAATCTGATTTCTTCCCCCTCGCCCCAAAGTAGTGCTCCAGGAGGAGGTCATATCCTTCCTAACCCTGTAGTTGCTTCTACCTGCTGCCCTGGCCCTTCTCATACCCCTATCCCAACCCTCTGAGCCCACCTAGAATAAAAGGAACCACTTTCCCAAGGGGGTGTTCAACCTCCCCTAGGGTGGCAAAGTGTTCCTTAAAAAGACAAGAATAAATGCAGGCCACACACTAAAACTTAACTACATGCCACATTGGCTCATTTATACCTTAACAACAGTGGGGGACAGCTAATCAGGTCTTCATCTGATAAATAAGGCAACAGAATTAGGAGAGTTCAATTTACTTGCCTTCAGTCACAACACTAAGTGACAGATCCAGGATTTAAATCCAGATCTGTCTGATTCTGAAACCCAGGCTCATCCCTACTATGTGCATTGCTTCCTGTCTGGAAGGATGAGGGAGGGAAGCAATTGGGAAGGGGCTGAAAATGTAGACCATGAAGGGAGCAGGAAAACTGCCTTCTGGGGGACAGTAGTAGAAAGTTTCAGGGGAGGATGCAGGGTCTCAGGGGTAAAAACACTCCCAGAGCGCTCTGCTTTTCCTCTTCTCACCCTGGAGGCTCTAAAATGCACATGGCTGAATCCTAGCTCCCTATCCGGGCATTCAGGGCCTTTGTGACCTGACCTTAGCCAACCTCTCTGCCTTGTGCTTCCAGCCTCATGAGCTCCTGTCTGGTTCCTGGACTCCCTTCTCACGCCTCTGTAATTGCTCCCGACTTCTTTAGCCTGCAGCCCTTCTCTTATTATCTCCATGTATCCCTCCCCCGCCAACCCTGCCCCATCTATGTCTTTCAGGGTTGCTTCCTTGAAAGTTGCCTCCCTTAAGCCTTCACTGACCCTCTACCCAGTTGACCCACTACCTCTGCCCTCCCCCAGTGCCTTGAATTTGCACACAGCACGTTTTAGCATTGTCTGCTTTTGGTCTCTCAGTGGACCATGAGCCTCATGTCAAGCTCAGCAGTAGTTGCTCAGCTCGTCATTGTCAATCTCTCTCTGTATTCCACATTTTGCGTCTAAGACAAGCTACTCAGCCTCTCTTGGCCTCAGTTATCTTGTCTGTAAAATGGGGGAAATCTAGCTCAGAATTGTGAGGATTAAATTTGAGGAGGCAGGCAAAGCTACTAACACGCTGTCTGACACAATAAACATTAGCTACTGACGATGAAGTGACGTTGATCGCGGTCTTTTTAGAATAAATACATGGGTCGTTTTAGAATAAATACTGGTTTTGCCAGGATTGCCTGAAGGGAGAGGAGAACAGCAGTTTTAGGGGGATGGAGGTCATGCGTTGGCAGAAAATCAGCTCTGCTGTGCACCAGCTGGGTCTACCTTTCTCCGCCGCAGTGAAGGGCAGAGTGACCACCCTTTGCTCAGTCCTCCAGGGGGTGGAAGACCAGAGCCTGGAAGTCTCTAGCGCGCAGCTCAGGGCACACAGGGGGCTGCAGGGTAACTGACAGACTACCCTGTGACGGGTCGGAAGGCTGGTCCAGGGAGGAGGAATGTGAGGGCAGTAGTCGGAATGAATCCAAGGCCTTCAGGGCCTTTCCCGCGCCTTTCTCCAGCTCCTGCAGTTAGACATAAATCCTCGCAGGGCGAGTCTGGAGGGGTGTGAAGGTCGAGGCCAGAGATTGAGGAAGAATTCGTCCAGGGCTGCCCAAGCGAAATGTGTCAGGCTCAGGGACCCAGCGGAATGCCAGCCCGCCTCCCCCTCCCCGCCCTCCTCCTCCCTGTTCAGCGCGAGCGGGCGGCGCGCTCCGGAGGGAGAGCTGGGGCTGGAGGTTCTACCCCCTCGGCGGCCCGCACCTGCCCCCCCCCTCCGCGCGCCCGCCCTGAGCCCGCCCCAACTGGGCAGCCGGGGGCGCCCCCACTTCTCTCCCCCCGGGCGGGGGAGCCGGGGGGCAGCGCCGGAGCCCGGGGGGAGCACAGCCCCACCGGCCGGCCGGCCAGGGCAGGGGGCAGCTAGGACGGCCCGGGGTAAGCGGCGGGAGGAGGGGAAGGTGGGCGGAGGCGGGGGCTGGGGTGGGTCGGGCCGGGGGCAGAGGCGTGGAGGGGACGGCCGGGGTGAGGGGCGTCCAGGGTGAGGAGGGAGGAGGGGGCCGGCGGGCTGGCGGTGAAGCGGCGCGGGGCGGCCACGTGAGAGCTGGAGCTGGGGGCGGGGGTGCCTGCAAGGTGCCGGAGGCGAAGAGCGAGCTGGGCTCCTATATCCCCCCAAACTCCGATCAGTCAGGTCATGGGGAGCCCAGCATCTTTGCGTTGCCCCCCAGCTCATCCCCTGGTGAACGTGGTTGGAACAAACAACTGGCGGACGTGTGACCCGGCCCTCAGGATCTGTGAAGCCCCTGCCCTCAGTCAGGGGCAGAGACCTGGGTGGCTAGACAGGGAGCGAAGGGGACAGAAACCGGGCTTTGGCCCCTGTGTGTGTCCCTAGTCTTTTGCCGGCGCTGTCTGCAGACTCACTGCAGAGCGCAGGCCTTGGGGTGGGAGCACTCTGGGGCCTGGGGCCTGCTTCTTGGGACAGCCCCTTTCTACCCCCACCCAGCCAAGGGTGTTGGATTAATTTATGCTGAGACCCAGGACCTCTGCCTGGGAAGGTGGGGCACAGATCACCTCTGAGTTTGGGAAGGGCCACACTTAGGCCTGGTGAGTTCCAGGAGGCTGGCCCCAGCCTGGGGGCCTCTCTCTTGCACCCTCTCCCTGGCTTCTGGGCTGTGCCCCGCTTTTATTTCTCTGCTACTCCCCAGGAAGGGCTGGTTTCTAGGTTGGGAGTGTGGTGTCCAGAGAATCTAAAGGTAGGGTCCAACTAGAAACCTGAGTTGCCACACCCAGAGGGAGGTCAGGGCTCTTCTTGTATTCCTTGCCCTTTCTTCTTCCCCTAGGACTGCCACCTGCTTGTGCTGGTTATATAATTAACCCAACTGAGTCTCTCTGCCAGCCTGGCAGTGTCCAGGGGTGCCTGAGGGGCCTATCTGGGGAGGAGGGATTGGCACTTCCCCTAGTCGGGAGCTCATGTAAGTATATGAGCACCTGTTGGAGAAAGGACAGTGCATGGAGCAGGAAGGAAATTCTGATTCTTAGTCTTAGCTGATACCTCAACTGGCTATGAGGTCTTCACTAAGACTTTAGGTGGTTTTTTGTTTTTTAAAACTTTAATAAAATGAGAAGAATCTCTCACTGAGCCCAGGCAACAGTGGATGGTGACCCCTCCTGGGATTGCTGGAAGGTCTCTTTGAGACTGTGGAGAACCTTATATGAATGAAAGACCTTTGTACGTACTAATGGCCCCTATTCACTGAGCACTGCCCCTGCACCAGGGCCTGAGCTTTGCATGCATGACCTCACAAAACCTATGAAATCTTGCCTAAGGCCACCCTTTAGGTGTATGGAAGAGCTGGGAATCAAAGCCTAGTAGTTCTCACTTCAAATACTGCCCTTTGTTTTCTCTGCTGTATGTACACATACTCTATGGATTGAGATCTCTGAACCAGGACAGCCTGGGGGGACATTCAGCTGTGAATTGTGCATTTGGGGCTATTAGCCCCATTTTACATATGTGCAGACTGGACAGGTGATTTGCCTACTGACCCACAGTTGAGACATGTCAGAGTTGGGGTTTATACCCAGGCTGTAAAGTTACTGAAACTGAGCAAGCAAGGACTAATGAATCCATTCTAAGGTCCAATCCCCTAGCAGCCCCTTCCTGGCACCTGCGGAGTACCAGGCCCTCTGAGCTCCAAGGGATGTCAGAAAATCAGACCCAGTCCTCAGCCTATCCGAATTCACCAGCTAGGATCACTACAGTTGCAAGTTGGAGGTGCTGTGACATTGTAGAAAGGAGTAGCTGCCATTCCCAGCTGTGTGACTTGGGGTGTATGTCTTACTCCTTCTGAGACATCCCTGGAGTGGGGCATAACACTACCAATCCCTTAGGGATATTGCCCAGGGATAACCACAGGAGCATGCTACCAGAATAAATGGTCACCAGCATTGTGCTCCAGAACCCTAGAGGTCATCTAGTGCATGATTCTTGATTGGAGGGCATTTGGAAATGAGAGAGCAGTTTGGTCATTATGGTGACTGGAAGCTGTGGCTGGCAGTTACCTCCTGGGAACCGTGGAAGGAAAATGTCTTGCAATGTGTGGGCAGTCCTGCACAATAAAGGGCTCTCTCCCTACAGAATTCCAGGAGTGCCTCCCCTAAGACGGACTTGCCTGATCTCACCCCTTCAGGATGAGACTGAGACTCAGAGGAGCTGCTGTCTCCTCCAGGCTCTGTGGGAAAGCTAAGATTAAACCCAAGTCCAGTGCTCTCTGCACTCTGCTCTGCAGCCTTCCTTGGTTGGGGAGACAGACGTGGAGAAAAGTCAAGTCATGACATAAGTCATGACAGATTGATTCCCTCTAGAAGGACAATAGGAGAAAAGGGAGAAGTTTTGGATAGGTAGAGAGAGGGGTTCTGGGAAAGGGCAGGCATATCAGGTGGTAATAAGAGCTTCAGCAAAGTCTCAGAGGTAGAAAAGTGCAGGATGTGAACAGGGACAAGCCAGTGCACTGAGCCCACCTCTTGTCCCCACAGTCCAGGTGGAGGCCACACAGGGCCCAGGGCAAGCAGAGGCAAAAATGGTTGCTCCCGACGGTGGCTGAGCCCCCAGCCCCTGGAATATGCAGCCCGGGGGAGCCCCAGGCAGCGGCAAGGACGCGGTGGCGGAGTGGGGCGGGAGGCATGGTCTCTACCTACCGGGTGGCCGTGCTGGGGGCGCGAGGCGTGGGCAAAAGTGCCATCGTGCGCCAGTTCTTGTACAACGAGTTCAGCGAGGTCTGTGTGCCCACCACCGCCCGCCGCCTCTACCTGCCTGCTGTCGTCATGAACGGCCACGTGCACGACCTCCAGATCCTCGACTTCCCGCCCATCAGCGCCTTCCCTGTCAACACGCTGCAGGTAGGGAGGCCCTCAGGGGCACTGGGCAATGGGAAATGGAGGGCTGAGAGAGGAAGGGCTGGACTCCTACCTGCTGTAGTTCTGGCCTTATTGCCAGGGGCCCACTGCTGGGTTTGAGAGCTCATCATTACACTGTGAGCCGCTATCCTTAGAGCCGTTCCAGGAATCCATTCATTTGTGTGCTAGTTTATTCAACAAATATTTGATGACCATTTAATGTGTGCCAGGACCTGCAGTGGGCACTGGGGCAGAATGGTGAACAATATGGAATGGGAATTTGCTTTCAAGGAACTCATAGTCTGGTGAGAAAAGACTAACAGGCGGTTATTAGATAGTGTGATAGATAAGTGCTGTGATTGGAGGAGATGAAAGGAGCTGGGGCAGCCCTTAAGGGGACATCTAAACCACCCAGTGTGTTGGGGTCTGGGTGGGGCCCACAGGAGGGCATGTCTTGACTAAGTAGGGGCAGGTAAGGGGCAGTAGAGAGAAGGAAAGGGAACACTGGCTGCCTGCCAATATTTGGAGCTCTGTGTGCCCCCCCCCCACCTCAGACCTCACTCTAGGTCATTTACAGAAGGGACACCAACAGCATAGGCAGGTGGGACCTGGGAAAGTTGTATTCTCAGAGATTCTGGAGACCCAAACTGGATCTCTTAGCCAAAGGCCTCTTCTCTTAGGTGATATTCTCTCTCCTGACCTTAGGACATGCCTGCTGGACACCCTTCCTGCCAGCTGTGGATTTCAGTGTCCTTGCTTGTGGTGTTCCTTCCCTCAGTACATGTTTGCTCACTGAAGGAAGCCTCTGACCAGAGCAGAGGTTTTCAGGGAAGAAAAGGCACAATGGTGGAGACTCAGAAGGCAGGGAATAAGGCTAGGCAAATTGTAATTGAGAAAATACAACAATTTCTTGGACTAAGATTGGGGGTTGGGGCTGGCAAGCAGCTCAGCATACAGTATTGTCTCAGCAACACCAGGAGGGCCTTGGCCCAACCTGCTAGAGACACTTGTCTCTCCCATGCCAGGTGCTTGGAGGTCAGCACCAAAGACAAATGCCTGATGCACACATCTGCCTCTTATTCTCCTCTAAAGGAGACTTTAATGGTAGCCTGAGTGGACACTCAAATCCTTTCTCCAAGCCTGCACACAGAGCTTTTTTTTTTTTTTTTTTGAGACAGAGTCTCAAGCTGTTCCCCTGGGTAGAGTGCCATGGCATCACAGTTCACAGCAACCTCAAACTCTTGTGCTTAAGCAATTCTCTTGCCTCAGCCCCTAAAGTAGCTGGGACTACAGGCACCTGCCACAACACCCAGCTATTTTTTGGTTATAGTTGTCATTGTTGTTTGGCAGGCCCGGGCTGGATTTGAACCTACCAGCTCTGGTGTATGTGGCTGGTGCCCTAGCCCCTGAGCTATAGGCGCTGAGCCCACACTGAGCTTTGTTTATCTTTTCATATAAATTATGTAAAATTTTTAGTTAATTTAATTTAATTTTATAGGTAAGATACAATTTAAAAGTCCAAACTTTGGCTGGGAGAAATCTTGGTCCTACCCCAACCCCCTTCTCTCTGGTTTCTGCCCCACTCTCGGTTACCATTGTTGGTTTTTGATCCATAGCTTCCAGTGTTTCTTTACTCAAATAAAAAAATGTTGGCTGTGTGCAGTGGCTCACGCCTGTAATCCCAGCACTTTGGGAGGCCAAGGTAGGAGGATTACTTGAGGCCAGGAATTTGAGACAACGTAAGCAGCAGTATAATATGACCTCACCTCTGCAAAAAAAAAAAAATGTTTTTAATTATCAAGGCTTGGTGGTGCACACTTGTAGTCCCAGCTACTTTGGAGGCTGAAATGAGAGAATCGCTTGAGCCCAGGAATTCCAGCTGACAGTGAGTTATGATCAGACCATTGCAGTCTAGCCTGGGCAACAAAGTGAGACCCTGTCCTTAAAAAAAATAAAAATAAAAAGTAAAATGTATTCTTATTCCACTCCTCTTCTTATGCAAATGCAAAAAACAAAAACAATACTGTTCTATACCTTGTTTTTTTTTTTTAACTTAATATAACCTGGAGATTTTTCCATGTGAATATTTAGAGGACTCCCTCCTTTTTTATTGGTTACACTGCACTCCACTGAAGATTTACCAGGGAGTCCTTTCTCACTGGATGGTCTTGTGCTAGTTCAAACAATGCCACAATGAATAGCCTTGTATATAAGTCACTTTGTACAGAGGTAGGTGTATCTGTGGAGTCGATTCCTGGAAATGACATTGCTAGATCAAAGGGCAAATTCATCTGGAGTTTGGAAGGCATTCCCAGGTTCTCCTTTATAGAAGTTGTGTATGCCATGCTCCTCCAAGCAATGTACATGAGGCCCATTTCCCTAAAGCCTCACCATCAGATTGTATTTTCAAACATTTGGAATTTTGACAATCTGAGAAATTAGATATGATATTCTCAGTCTAGCCTTTATTTGCATCTCTGAGTGAGGTGAATGTCTTTTCATATGTTTAATGGCCTCTGTGCTTCTTTTGCCAAGAACTGTTAAAGGTCCTTTGCCCATTTTTCTACCGGGCTGTTGGCCTTTTTCTTAATGATTGGCCCTGAATTTGGGAGTAAAGGGATAAGCCAGTCAATCAGGAGACCTCCTCCTCTCCCTTTTAGGACCTCCACGAGAGGAGAGGGTAGAAGGGAGCCTGGAAGTCCCCTCAAGGAGACAGCATTCTGGGGGAGAAGTAGGATTGTCACTCTCAAAGGCTAACAGCTGTGCCCTCTCCCCAGCAGAGAGCTTGAAGGGCAGGAGCCTCATCCTTCTCAGTTCTCACTGATCTCCACTTGTCCTGTGGAAAGGGGAAGGAGCCATAAGCACATGCCGGTCCCAGGCTCCTGGAGGTCACCATGTCCAGCAGAATGCAGTCTTCCGTGGCCTAAGAAACCAATTCATGGTTTCCTATGGCTTTAGATTTGTCCTCAGCATCTTCCCCCTGCACCAAAAACTAAAAGCTCAGCACAAAGAAAAGATGCCACATCATCTCTCTGGGGAAATCCACTGCAGCATCTTCTAAGCCTTTGAGTTGGGAAGTGCTGTTCTGAAGTTAGACTTAACCCTGCACTACTGCCACCAGTCTTTTCCCTTTTATTTCTCCTTTGAAGTAGAGAACCAGCTGTAGTCTTTCTTCAAGTCTAGTACCTGCCCCACTCAACTCATCAGCTGGGACAGGAGACATGCCTCTGTCTCCTTCTAGTGTTTTGCCTGGGTCCTTGAGGGAGAAGACCCTGATGTCCTTTCCCCTACCTCTGTCCTTTCAACTTCATAGACCCCCTCCTTTCCACTGGATGCCTAAAACTGTTGCATCTGCTGGCAGATTAACTAGCTAATTACTCTTTCAAGGAACCTTCTCTTTAGAGCACTCAGCCATTCCAGAGGCCTCTTCATCTTGAGCCTCTTCCTGAGAAATTGCCACAAACATTCAGGAAGTTCCATCTCCCTGGAGCTGCCCTAGGGCCCTTCTCTACCTCAGCCTGTCACGCATCCAGTCTCAATTCTTTTCTCCTCAGTCCCCTGTTTCTCAACCCTGAGAGCAGAGTGGAGCATATAGTAGGGGCACATCAGGTAGCAATCCAAGGGCAGCAGCAGCAGAGGTTGCCTTGATCCCAGCTTGGGCCCAGTGGTATTCAGCACCATGGAGAGCTCACCAGCCTAGATAGTGTCATGATGGCACATCTGCTAAGAAGCAACAGTGCTGGGCACCAAGTGGGGAGAAAGGAGTATGTAAAAACAAGGAAGGCCTGGCTCTGACCCTCTCAGGGGCCCACAGCAAAGGCGGAGAACTGGAGGTGATGGAACAGCTCTAACTAAGGTTAGGATTGTTAGAACACAGGAGGCAAAGGAAGTAGTTTCCTGCTTGCAAGAAGGGTGGGAAATCAGGAAATCTTAAAGAAGGAAACACTTGAGCTGAGCCTTGGAAGACAGGATTTCAATACATCCAACAACTAGCTCAGGGCTGGACTCTTCAAGGCACTTAAAGGTACCTGTTGAAGAAAGGACTGGATGGATGGATAAATGGATGGATGAGGGGGACCAAATGGGACAAGGCAGATGTACGCAAGATGGTGTAGTGGCCCTGGAGGACAGTGTAACCTGCTCTCTCCTGCCTGGGGAATGGGGAAGCTGCAGCACTGAGCAGCTTCTGTGGATGCTCCTGGAGATAAGTGGGTATGGAAAGTCCCAAGTGCAGTGGCAGGTGAGAAGCACTGCCCATCTAGCAGAAGGTGGGTGGGGCTGGAAGAGCCCTCCTGTCTGCTCTAACCCTGGGACCCGCTGGGGGGTTTGCAGGAGTGGGCAGACGCCTGCTGCAGGGGACTTCGGAGTGTCCACGCCTACATCCTGGTTTACGACATCTGCTGCTTTGACAGCTTTGAGTACGTCAAGACCATCCGCCAGCAGATCCTGGAGACAAGGTGAGGGGCTGCAATACAGCCTATTGCCACTTCTGTGGGTGCCCCAATGCCAGCCAGTCCCCAAGGAAAAGGGACAGTAAGGGTACACAGATAAAACATGTGCTCTCAGATTCCCACACTCGAACATGTACCTACCCACCCACATTTTGCTGTCCTCATTTCTGCTCATTCATTGTGGAACTCTGACCATGGGGGGACTAGACTGGTGTTAAACCTTGGTCTTTGGGAAGACCAACACTGCCAGTGCCACTCAGCTAACTTCAGGTCAGTTAACAGTGAAGCCTGTTTCCTCATTTGCAAAATGAGGGTAATAATAGTACCCATCTTTTGGATCATTTATGCTAATCAGAGGATATAATTTAATCTCAAGGGCTCAGAGCTGTCCTGGTAGAGAGCGGGTGGTGATAGTCATGGTGCTGCTGTCCTGGGAGTTCAGTGACTGTGAGACTGGCATTGGTAGAGTTCTAAGATTCCTGCCTGGCCCTGCAGGGTGATCGGCACATCTGAGACACCCATCATCATCGTGGGCAACAAGCGGGACCTGCAGCGCGGACGTGTGATCCCACGCTGGAACGTGTCGCACCTGGTGCGCAAGACCTGGAAGTGCGGCTACGTGGAGTGCTCAGCCAAGTACAACTGGCACATCCTGCTGCTCTTCAGCGAGTTGCTCAAGAGCGTCGGCTGCGCGCGTTGCAAGCACGTGCACGCCGCCCTGCGCTTCCAGGGGGCGCTGCGCCGCAACCGCTGCGCTATCATGTGACGCCTGCTGCAGCCCCCGAGCCGGCCCCGCAGGGGCGAGGGCCGGGCTGTGCTGGGGGCCACTTCCCCGCGGGACTGCGGGGCGGGGAGCGGGCGGGAATAGAACTGTGATGGTCCGGGCCTCAGGTGCCCCTCAGCCACGCACTCCCCCATAACTGCTCAGTCCCTCGCCCCGTCTGTCTTCCTGGGACAGCGCCTTCAGTGCTGTAGTTAGTGCAGTACCCGGCCTGGCCCGAAGGGGCGCCACAGCCTTTGGGGATTGCGGTGCGCGTGTGAAATGGAGGGCGGGGGTGCGGAGACGCTGCCTTGGCCAGGCCCCCACCTGTCTTATCCGAATGTGTCTGTCTTTGCCCGGAGTCTTCCCTTCCTGTATCTGTCTGTCCCAGCGTCTGTCAGTCCTTGCCTGTCTTATCCGCCCTCCAGCCCCCCTCCCAGCCCCCACCAGCTCCGCTCACAGGGCTCTCATTTCGTCCATCCCCTTGTCGCAGATCCTGGCAGCTGCTTTATGAGGCCAGGCCTTCTGACTGTCAGCATCACCGGCACAGGGAAAGAGTTGCGGGTGGCCCAGGGACCACAATCCAGGGTTCCCGGGATTGAGGTCCCAGATCAGTCAGGGGGAGAAAGCGGAACTCTCCCGCTCCCAGGGAGACCTCCCCACCCAGCAGCCCCCAGAGACACAACAACCTACCTTCCAGCCTTAACTCGATGGTCCGTCCCTGCCAGGTGCCCCTCACTCTCTTCCTGACCCCAAAGCCAGTCACCCCCTGGGTTAAAACTTTTTTTTCCCCACAAGACTGTGGAGAGGGAATCCTCTAAAAGCTAGATTCTTTTCCACGATGCCAGGTTCCAGTTCTCTATTCCCTTCTGCATCTGGTCTGCCAGGTTGGGGGATGTTGAGTCCTGGGGGCTGGTGGTGGGCAGGGTGGTGCCAGGAGGGGGGCGGGTTATGCCAGGGAAGACTAGCTCCCTGTCCTACCCTAATCTGACTACCCCAGACTCTGCCTGCCTCAGATCTCAGACTTCCTTGATTAATCTGGGGAGGAGCAGAGCCAGAAAAGAGCATTATGGAGATTCCTGTGCTTGGGGAAAATAAACCTGCATCTCCACCTATAGATGGAGGCCCTCAGGATCTGACACCTCACTGTCCCAACACCAGTTGGCCCTATGCCCGAACTCACTCCGTCCCATTTTCTCCGGCTGCCTGGCCGGGTTTCTACCTCTCGTCACTGGAGCTGATCACTGTCAGTTTTGTACCGATTTAGAAATAACAATAATAATGAAGGTTCTAGGAATGGCCTGAGGGAAAGCTGGGGGACTTGGAGGGAGGAAAGAGTGGTGCCCTGCCCCCTGGCCAAAGAAGGTTCTTCAGAAAAGGTACCAAGGTCCCTTGTTAGGAGGGGCAGATAGGACAACTCAGCCTTAGTTGATTTAGCCGGGGCTGCACCACATGGACCAGGAAATCAGTACAGAGTGGTGATGGAGAGGAATCTGGGGAAGGGGTATGGGTGGGGAATTTATCATCAACATCCAGTGAGAGAGGGAATTTGTGGTTCTCTCCACTGCTTCCCCAGCTGATCCCCACTCCCTCCACCCACTGAGGGCAGCACAGCCCTGCAGTGACTGCTCAGGCCTTGAGCGGTCCAGCGTTCTTGGGTTCTAGTCCCTGCTGTGCTGCATGACTTTGGGCAAATGACCTGCCCTCTCTGAGCCTCCCTCTGAAACAGAGGAGGTGGCTCCCCTTCTCCACTCTTTGAAGTGGCTGGGAGGGTAAAGAAGAGGGACTGCCCTTTTTATCTCCTGCACTCTGGTCCCCTGGTTCCCAGGAGTCAGGGTGAGGGATGGCAGCATCTCATGTGCCCCATCATCCCCAACTCTGAGGCATCTGAGGTGGGGGTGGGGGACCAAGTACCCCCATGGGAACCATTGGAATGTATCACCTGACAGGCCCCCTCCCCACTCTGCTTCACCCCAGGTCTTGGATTTCAGGTCCCTCCACCCCCATTCTGAGTCTTTGTCTTTCCTTTCTACCCACACCCCCCAGGGTTTCCCACCACAGGGTCTGGAAGTGTATGTGACGCCCATTGAGCTGTTATTGGAAGTCAGATTAAAAATCAGGGAGTGTTTTCCCTCGTTTCTGTATAAAAGTGTCAGCTCCGTTCCTCATGGTGGAAGGGGAGGGATCTCTACAAAGCCTGCCTGCTGAGCTCTGTGTGAAAGAGGGGGTGAAGGGGGTGAGGTAGCCCCTCTCCCAAAGCCCAGGTTGACCAGGAGGTAAAAGGGGAAGAGTCTGAGGCTACCTCCTTTCCACCTAACCCCAAATATTCCAGCTAATGAAAACCATCCAGAAGGGAAGTATAACTTCCCACCTGCCACTGTCTCTGGAAAATTCCTAGAATAGGACTCAATCCCAGCTTCCCCTCCCTCCTACTCCCTGTGGCTGCTCAGTGCAACTTCTTGGATGTAGGGTGTGTTAGGAATGCTCTCAGCCATCCCTCTTGGCCCTGAGAGATCTCACTTCCCAACCCCAAGAGCAAAGCTTTGAAGTCCGAGCAAGGGTGGCTTGCAGGAGCCAGTGTGTTGGGATCAAGGATGAGGCGGCCTTGTCTCCGTCCGTGGTGTCCACCAGCCACTTCTGGGAAAGATGGCTGTCTGCTGATATTGTGTGAGCCTCAAGAGGATGCATCTCTCAGCCCCACACCCCAGCCCTTGTCCGCATCCCCTCCAGTGGGATGACATATGAAGCTGCACCTTCCTGATTGAGGAACTCAAGAAGCTGAGGTGTCAAGAACACACCCACACGTCTTTAATAATGTACAGGACTTGCAGAAATGAGGGGCACAGCTGGAGGACAGAGGCCAAGAATTTGGGGGAGCTGTTCTGGGGGAGGGCAGCAAGATACAGAGTGCCCTCTGGCCCCCGCCTTCCTCTAGAGTTGGAGTTGTCTTCTCTTTTTTTTTTTTAATTTTATTTTTTTATTATTTTTTTGTTGTTGTTGCAGTTTTGCCAGGGTTGGGTTTGAACTCACCACCCTCAGTATATGGGGCTTACACCCTACTCACTGAGCCACAGGCACCACCCAGAGTTGTCTTCTCACTGCCTCTTGGCCTAGGCCCTGTCTTGACATGGCAGCTCCTGCAGCTGTGAATCCAGGTGTCCTTGCTTCCCTCTTCACAGCACCCTCAGACGCTCAGACCCAGGACTCCTCTTCAGGTGGGAGTGGGGCTTGGTCAAACTGCTGCGGCCCATGGCCAGCCAGCAATTTCTTCTCTTTTTCTTCCTTCTTCTCACCTGCTGGCACTGCAACCACTTGAGAAGCCTCACGTCCCTTGCCCAGCATGGCTCTCAACAGCTTGCCCCTGGGGGGTGCCCTGACTGGACCCAGATAGAGGTAGGCTAGTGGCTTAGGGATCCTTGAAGGGCACTTCTCAGGCCTGTGGTCTCTCCGAGGCCGGATCCTGGGCCTCAGCTTCAGCTTGTAGATGGAGGGGACCCTCTGGGGTTTCCGGAGGGTCCTCTTACCCTTTCCAAGACATGACTTGGCTTTGTCAGAAATGGGGTTTGAGGGCACAGGTGCAGGGGCTCCCTGACTGGCCGACACAGTAGGGGCTGAGCGGTCCTGCCCCCTCTGAGGTGGGACCTTCCTCGTGCTGGTCCTCTTGGCACTCAGGCTTGCTTGTGTCCTTGGTCTACTCTCTCGGGCTCCCAGCCTCCCCTTTGGGGTTCCTGGGCCTGTGGTAGCAGCTGGCTTAGGAGAGCATATTGGGGCTGCCTTCCAGGCTTCCATGTCCACTTTAAGGAGGGGTGGGGAGCCCTGAGCCAGTTCTTGGATGACTCTGTCATAAGGACTCCCAGGCTCAGGCCACTGCCCACCCAGGCTGGGGACATAGACTCCACTTCGAGGGATGATCCCAGGTCCTGTGTCCTGAGGACAGGCACCTCCCACATCTAGCAGCTTCATCTTGGCCAAAATCTCCTCTTCAAGGCTGTGGTAGATGGCTTGCTCCTTGGAACTGCCCAGGCCCAGGGGAGTGTTCGTTCCCTCAGGCTTCTGGTCTTTGTGCCTCACTGCCACAGAGCAGTCCTCATGTCTGGACCCAGCCAGGTCCCCAGAGATGGGCCTTAGTGCGATGGGTCCTCTCCCAAGTTCTGTCCTGGGAACTCCATGTGCAGTACTTGGAAAGCTGCCTCCTGGTGTGGGGGGGCGGGCAGGGGGCAGCCGGATGGGGATCTTGGTGAGTCCTTTAACAGGGGATGGAGAACAAACAGGTGCTGGCTCACTGAGCTGGGAGGAAGCACCCCGGGCCTCATCCCACAGTGGCAGCCTGAGCCCGAGGGGCTTGGCTAGGCTAGAGGAGCGAGGAGGGGGAGAGGGTCCTCGTGCTGATGTTCCCTTGGTGGTGGCCTCTGGGGCTCGGAGTCTTTGGGGGGTTGGGGTCCCAGCAGGGGTTCCCTGGCTGTCTTTTTCCTCATGAACCCAAGAGGTAGGAGTCCTTCCCCTGGGGAGTTCAGAAAGGTGTCTTCCCTCCCTCTTCCCAGACGAGGTACACCATGGGTCTTGGCCCCCATGGATGAATGAGGATTGGGGGCTGGGTGGGCTGTGCCCAGCTGGCAGCTGCCTCCAAGATGGGGTGAGAGACCTCTCCTGGCACCTGAAAGGGAGAATCACAAGGCTGGAAAGGGAGACTTACAAGGCTGGCAGGGTCAGCTAGTGTAGTCCCCTGGCTCTGGGAAGAGATGGTCTTTCCCAGGTAGAACAACCAAGGCAGCTAGACTTCATGTTGAATGAAACCCATGGCAGCCATTGTTTAAGTCTATGCTCCCTGTTCCCTGTGTAGTAGAGAGAAGAAAGCCTGGACCCGGCCTGGGGTCAGATCTTTTAAGGGATGATCCCAGACCAGATGTCTGACAACCAGGGGTCACTAGTCTGGGGTGGAGTGGGGTGGGTCTTAGTCTCTGCCTTACCATGAAATGGCAGAGAACCTTGGATAAGTCTGTTCCCCGTCTGGACCTCTACCTCCTCATTTATGGACAAGATGTGTAACCAGACAATCCCAAAGGCCCTGGTGATTTCTCAGTTCTGAACACCTGAGGTCTCTCTATCTTGGAGTGAGGTGAGGTAGCCGCTGAAAATGTGGACACCAAAGGAAAAATAGACTCTTCCCGCATACCTGAGAACCCCTGTCCCTGCTCCCTGCTCCCTGCAGGGGCTGGGTGAGGAGATGGTGGGGGGTCTCAGCTTTCGGCCTGAAGAAGTGTATGTCTTCCAGTCCACGGGGGGCAGTGGGCTCTGAGAGCGGCTGATGGTCATTGTAGGCTGGGGGTGTGAGGGGCCGTCCTGCACCCTCACTTCATGCTGCACCGGAGGGGTTGGGGGCTTCAGGAGGCTGCCCGGCTTGTGTGCTACCAACATTGTCCCCCCAGAGAAAGGAAAGAAGGGAAGGGTTCAATTCCTGCTGATGGGGCCCATTGTCCCGCCCCGCCTCCCCGCAGCTGCCCCCTGCCTCTTATCCCACATTAAAAACAGTGGGACCCACAGTGGCAGCACCAGAGTTTCCCTATAGGGGGCATTTACTGGACGCGACCTAGCCAGAGGCCTGGCTGGGGAGCTTGTTTAAAGCTGCGTTTGTATGGTAGGTCCACAACTTTTACTTAGAGTATATGCTTATTTCGGTGGCTTGAGGTGCTGATAGAGATTATAGAAGAAATAAGACCTTATAAGTCACGTTTGGTGGCACCACTGTGGACCCCAGAGCCTCTGCCGGGAAGCACCCTGACCAAATGCTTATTCTGCGTGTGTTGTGCACCACCTCGTGGCTATAATTAGTACTGCACCGTGACTGCCCAGCTAGGGAATCTTCCTCCCTCCAGCCTCCCCCGCCCCTCCCCGCGCCCCTCTGCCTCTGCCCCCGCCGCCACTGACAAGAGCTACACCTCTCCAACCAGCCCCACAGAAAGAAGACTCTTAGGGGACTCACAGAGGGACGTGCACCGACAGGGGTCATGTTTGTCCAGGTAATGGCCCAGCGTGTCCCAGCCGCCCCCCACACGTACCATCACGTGGTTCCGGAGGATCTAAGGGGGCAACAGGGTGAGGTTGAGGGCAGGACAGAGGGCATCCCCTTTTCCTGGATCAGCTTGCAGGCTTCCGGCGCGCACTCAGGGATACTCCCATCCATGTACTCACACACAGATACTCCCTTGTAGGGTGTAAGATTGGGAATGTGCATAATTTTTGCAGCCTGAGTGTCCTCCATGACTGGCATAGAATACCACGTGTTGTCAAGGGTGGGCAAACAGAAAGTTGCCCCACAACTAGACAAGGGCTCTCACAGGCATTGTGGGACATGACCCCAGAGTACTTTTTCTCTCCCTGCGCTAAAAAAGGTTTTGCCCCTACTTGTACCTGAGATGGGGGTCTAATGCCACTGGCTCTGCCTCTGTGAAATGCATGAACCAGCCTGCGGTTCTCTACCTGGAACTCTACCCTGGAGCAGGGTCACATAGTCTCACCAACCTTCAATTTCCTCTGTTGAAAACTGGGGCCATAATTTTGCCCCTAGCTACTTCACAGGGCTATCTATCCCCTCAGGGTCCAGGTGAGGGCCTAGGGAGCTGGCTCAGTGGTGGCTTGTGCACAAGAAAAGGGCTTGGCCATGCTTCGAGCTGCTGGCCATTAGGTCAGCAGTATTACGTTCCCAATTGGGGATACAAGGCCATGCAGGTGTACACCCTTGGGCACAGGGGCTGGTGAGGCACAGCCAGGTACTGGGGGACATTTCAGACATGTACTTACTCTGCAGAGTGCACCCAGCCAGACATGCAAGAAGGGGACTTGGGGGTCCATGTGGCCAGGGCCACACACTGAACTCAGACTTGGGATTCCCAGGTCTCTTGCTCTGACCAAGCCACTGGAGTGAAGCAGAAAAGCAGAAGTACCCTTCTCCATACCCACCACCACACCTCACCTGGGGACACCCTCTACACTAGGCCAAGTTTCAAGTGATGGAGGGCTGCGGTTCTGGGAGGAGGGGATGGACTTGCCAACTTCGCCAGAAATCTCCTGGAATTCTCCCAGGAAGAGAAGGGAGCTCCAAAGCCTGATGGTTTGGGGTGATTTCTCGTCATTGTCCTCAGGTCTGGGCTAGGTCCCATGGAAAGAAACACTATTCTGATGATGCTAGGAGCCCTTTGACCCCTAGCTGGACTTACCCGGATGAAGATGTGGGTGTTGGAGTCTCCCACTCGGTACTTCCCCTCAGACACCTTGACCATGGAGAACTGCACTGGGCACGTGCAGTGGCTCACGAGGTTCTGCACCTGCAGGACATGCGCAATGAGATCAGCCCTCTCCTCTGCTCAGGTGCCCAAGCCCCGCCCCCCATGCTGGGTCAAACTAAATGGGCGGACTGCCTGGCCCAGAGCCACTTCTGAGGTTCCTGCAGAGATCAGGCTGGGGACTGAGAAGCAAGAATAGAGAAGATCGATTGTAAGTGACAGAGAGAACGAGATCTGCAGTGGTCACTTATGGACCAGGGTCCTTGGGGGGTCAGCTGATGGGGGCAGTGGAGTGCAATGGCTAAGAAACCCCCCTGAGCTCTATTTTCCCCAGTGGTGGAAACGGGGTTAGTGAGAGCTAACTGCCATGAAGCACCCGCTCCGTGCAGGACTGTTCCAAGCACTTTGTAATGTGCTGGCTCATTAATATTCATAGCTCTCACGGAAGGTAGGTGCATGACTGTCCCCCCACTGTGATAAGGAAGCACAGAGAGTATAAATTATCTGTCCAAAGTCTCATAGGTATGAAGTAGTGGCTAAAACTTGGAACTAGGTTGTCCCAGAGGGTGCCAGAGACTGCTCTTGAAAACCGTCCCATGAGAGTGAAATGAGGGACGTGTAGAGTGCAAACGGGGTAATGAAGCCACAGCCATCACTGTATGTTGTTAGCGTGAAGGCTCTGAGCTTCCGGAAGGTGACTTGCCAAAGCCACACAGTGTGATCGAGTCAGAGTGGAGACGGGAGTTCAAGAGCCAGTGCCCTTCCAACAAGGGCTGGAACGGGATAGGGCAGCGGAGGGGAGTAAGGGGTGCAGGATGAGGGCAGAGCCTCACCATCTGGTCCAGGTTGCGGAAGTGGCACCGCCTGCGCGCTGGGGGCTTCAGCGGCGGAGGGTCAGGCGCCGGCAGGGCCAGCTCTCGGCGCAGCTGGTCGTCAATCTCCTCCTCCAGCTGCACCAGAGTGGGCGCCGCGACCCCGAAGCGCCAGGCCCGACGGCCCACCTCCAACAAGCAGAGCACCACGTTCTTCACGTTCTTTCGCAGCACCAAGTCCTCGGTCTCGAACATCAGCACCTCTGCGGGGGCAGAGGGAACATGGGGGCGGGTGTGGGGAGTGGCTAGGGTCTCAGGATCCTGGGGTGAGGTCAGCCCCCTCAGGAGGGGTCTGGGCAGAATTGCTCAGATCTTGAGAACACAAAAGGTGGCTCATAGCACAGGGCCCCCTTCTCAGGTACAAGCAGGGGCAGGAGATAGACCCCCATCTCAGATACAAGCAGGGGGCAAAACCTTTTTTAGCGTAGGGAGAGAAAAAGTACTCTGGGGTCATGTCCCACAATGCCTGTGAGAGCCCTTGTCTAGGCTGGGGGTGGAAAGCGGGCTGGATGCTGCACACAGGAGGCCCGGGGCTCCTCCAGTGTCCCCCAGGCTGAGACTTGGCTGGACTCTCAGCAGGGGACCTCTTCTTCCCACCCCCCACTCAGCCTGCCACGATGTGTCCAGGAACAGGAAGCAGTTTCTTCTACTTCCTACCCATGCCTCTCACCCGAGATATTCACCAGGTACAGCAAACTCAATCCCCAGCCCAGTCATAACCAGGCAGGGTTGAGTACAGGCTTTGGAGCCAACAACTAAGGTGGAGTCCTGACTGTCCCGCTACCAGCTTTATGACCTTGAGCTGGTCCCTGGACCTCAGTTCCCTCCTCTGTAAATGGGGATGTTGTCATGGAATTGGTGTGAGGACTGGATGAGCTGATGGCAGTTATGCACTGGCTGACAGTGTCTGGCACAGGGAAGTGCTCCTTGAACACAAGCTCCTATTAGCCTTCCTGTCCTGCTTCCCACTGCCATGCCACCAGCCAGCAGCCCAGGCCTCGCCCATGCCCACTCTCTCCCTCAACACCTTTGGCCTGGAAGATGGTTTAACATTCCATCTGGGTCTGAGGCCAGCTAGAGGAGGGATCCTGACCTGTCACTCCAAAGTCCTACAAGCCCCAGCATGACCAGCCCCTCCCCCTCTCCTTGTACTCTCCTCACCAGTGCGGATTCTCCCAGTTATGCAAACACAGTGCCTCCTTTTTGGTGCCTTTGCCCTGATCCCCTGCCTATATTTCCCTTCCCCCCAAATTTCTGTTTATTTCTCAAGACTCAGCCAAATCTCCTTCCACTACAGGGTATCCCAAAAGTTGCCCATAAAGTCTCCATGCATAGGGAAAATGGGAAGTTGTAGCTAAATGTACCTTTATTTACACAATATTCATTACAAAATTTTACAAAGGGGTGGCCAACATGTAGAGATATTTTGTAAATATTTTGTAAAAAAATTTTTTTTGAGACAAGTCTCACTCTTGTCATCCTGGGTTGAGTACCATGGCATCATAGCTCACAACTTCCAACTCTTGGGCTCAAACGATCTTCTTGCCTCAGCCCCCCAAGTAGCTGGGACTACAGGCATCTGCCACTATGCCCGGCTAGCTTTTCTCTTTATAGTAGAGCTAGTGTCTTGCACTTGTTCAGGCTGGACTCCTGAGCTCAGGCAATCCACCCGCCTCCAACTCCTAGAGTGCTAAGATTACAGGCAAGAGCCATGGCACCCAGCTGGTAGTTTATAAATTTTTGTAATGAATATTTTGTAAATAAAGGTACATTCAGCTGCAATTTCCCATTTTTCCTATGTATGGCAACTTTATGGGTAACTTTGGGACACCCTATATGCAGCCTGTCTCGGCTCCCACTTCCACCTCATCAGGTCTCTGTCTCCTCCCCTGGGAGCCCTGCACCTTTGCTCCGATCACAGTGAGCTGTGATTTACAGATCTACTCCTCTGTCTCTCTTGCTAGACCGTGAATTCCTTGGGCACTGGGCTTCATTCCTTTCAGTTCTTAGTGCCCTGCGCAGTGCTCAAACAGAATAGGTACTCGATTTATGTTTGTTGAGTGAATCATCAACAAACATTTATCAACATCAACACATTTATTTATTGAGGATTTACTATGAGATGGGGGAAACAAGGCATGAGAAGAGATGAGCTAGCCCAAGGCAAATCTGCAAAGGGGACCCAGGCTTCTGAGCTCAGATCTAGTCTATGTCCCCAAGAGGGGATGAATGGCTCCCAAAATAAGGGCCTGGAATGGGGGTGGGGGTCTAGGGCAGTTACCTTGGATGCCCATCTCCTTGCGACACCACTGGATGAAGTTGGAGACATTGTCCCTGGCCTGGAAGGTACCCGGCTGGGCGGCCTCATTGCAGGAAACCCCAGCCTGGGGCATGGGAATCCTTTGAGCTTGGGCAGGTGACTCAGCCAGGAAGGCCAGGGCAGCTGCAGTGATGGCATTGGCATGCCGGCACAGCACCAGGCCTGTCTCCAGCACCGGCAGGAAGTTGGTCACATCGATGTCCAGCCCATAGAGATCACGAAGCCACTCGGCCAGGTCTTCTTTCATGGCTTCCAGGTACTGCTCACTGGACTTGAAGGGCCGGATACTGCGCACAGGAGGCCCCAGGGTCCCGGGCCTCTTCCAGTGTCCTCCAGGCTGGGACATGGCTGGACTGTTAGCAGGAGATGAGATGGGCACCTCCTCCTCTCCCACTGCTGCCTCTTTACTCCTGCCACCTGCTGGGTCTTAGCTGCTTATCCCTGATTCAGAGCTTGCCTCTGGCTTCAGCCGCCAGGCCAGGCCCGGTCCCCACTTGCCCACATTCCTCAGTCTCCGCCAGAACTTTCCTGCTCAATGGCTGTGCAGCAACCTCACTCTGCAATTGCCCCGTCTGTTCAGAGTTCACCGAATCCCAGGGTGGGTGGAGGTGAGGTCATTGCTGTCTTTCCAAGGGCTGGACAGGTCAAGCTGGCTGCCTCCCACCCTCCACCGGCTGTGAGCCTGGCGTGGCTGGCGGCCTCCCCACTCTGCTTTCCTCTCCTCTCCTTGGAGACAGCGGCTGCTACAAACACTCCTTTTTAACCCTCTGGCAGGCAAGGACTGCCCTGCAGAGCCAGGGAGAGTGAGGAGAGGCGGGAGCTGGCTTCTTTCACTGGGCTGACCAGGTGCAGGCTGCCAGGGAATGGGGGGTGAGTGGGGGCAGGGTCGAGAGGGATTGCCCCTTGGTGTGTAATGAACATGGGAGGGTAGGGATAAAAGAGACACAGCAATGGATTCCAAAGACGTGAGTTTAGCCCTAAGTCCCCATGTGACCATCCTGTATTATCTAGCCTCTCTGTGCCTTAGTTTCTCAACTGTAGAATGGAAATAATAATATCTACCTCTCTGTGATATGAGGAATGAAGGAATAACATATATGAAATTATCAGACCATCAGGTCTGGGTGTGTCCAGCTCTCAGTGACTCACGGGTAGGGTGTTTAGTACCTTGCCTCTCACTTTCTCTGGACAACTGCTCTGTCCCTCACCCTAACCATGTGACAAATCATAGTACCTCACCCGCAGGGCCACAGAAATGCATTCATGCAACAAACATATCTTGAGCACCTACCTTGAGCAGGTACTATTGTAATAAACAAAAAAGACCATGTCCCTGACCTAATGAGGCTACTTACATGTTACTGGGTGATGGAGAACAGATAATAAATCTATAGTAAGTCAGATGGTGATTAGTTCCAAAGAATGGAATAAGAGAATAAAGGAGATGAGGACGTGCATGGAATTTCCCAGGAGGTGGTCAGGGAAGGCCTCAAGGATAAGGGGATATCACAGCATAGACCTGAGCGGTCTATGAGTGAGGAGGTGAGCCCTGCAGCTGTCCGGGGGAAGAGTGCTTGGGCAGAGGGAACGGTCAGTGCACAAGCTCAGAGGTAGGAGCGTGCGTGGCTTATTCTGAGAACCACAAAGGGAGGAGGACAATGAGGCAGAGAGGAAATGGGGTCCCAGATCCTGCAAGGCCTTGTAGGTGACTCTAAAGACTGGCTTTTTTCCTCTGAGATGAACAGTGCACTGTAGTGTTTGGGGCAGAGAAGGGATGTGATTCAGGCTGCTATGTAGAGAAGAATTGCAG